CAAGAGGAAGAGCCACAAATTTGGAAGTAGTTGCTGTCGTTTCTTTTAATAATGGCAATTTAATGGCAGAATATACCTCTGTCATTTCTGGCTGGGTTCTTACTTGTTAAATAATGAAGAAAATTCTGGATTTGCAGCATTTGTCTCACCTTAGGATGGTAGGTGAATACAGGGACAGGGAGCTTATATTGCATTGCTTATTATTCCAGTGGAGTTTGATCATTCAGCTGTACCCTGTGCACGTCTGTAACTATGGCAATGAAAGGTAATAAAGCCTCATTCGTCATTTTATGCAGGAGAAGTAAGTTGGCACCTCTTGGCCAGACAGAATAGGAGATCAGAAATCACTATAGAGCCATTGATGCAACACAGGTTAGTGTGGAATCCTCTGCTCCTGAGTTTTTCTAGGCAAGCCACAAGTGCCAGAGCTCTGTAGCATAGATGGAGTATTAGTCTGGAAGTAAAGAGACCTGATTTTCCACTTGTTTGATGAGGAGCCCGCCTACGTCATTTCTTTGCTCACATTTTCCCTTCTATATCGTTGTAAAATTGAGTGGCAAAAGGATCCTTGTGAAATCCTCGTGCTCCTCATGTGGTCTTTTTTCTTGTCTTTGCCAGGGCAAATCCCCAGGTAGGGATTGTCTTTTGTCATGTGGTGCTGCAGTGCTTCAGGCAGGGAGTGCTTGTGTCCCTTAGGACTTTTGTGCACTATATAAAGGAATCTTAAATTAAGCCAGTTCTGCCATTGCTTTTCTCTGCAGTTTCAGGCAGGCTGTGCAAGCTTTCTATTCATCCCTTTTCTCATTTGGAATGTTTGAGGTCTTACTGCTGGGAGTCACTCATCCAGAATTGTCCAGAGTGTTATGATGTTAGGGAAACCTGATGTTGTGACTCCACTCAGTTTCCTTCTTTTGTTCCTTTTATCATGTAGTGTGTGGTTAATATTAACTGATAAAATGAGCTTATGTTTTTGTATTGCTAAAGAGTTCATCTGCAAAAAAGTATTCAAGTTAGTTATTCTACTCTGCATACCTGTATCACTGTGACTTTGCAAGAACCAATTAATACTCATTACAGGATCAAAATATGGAATGTGCTGCATGGAGAGTGAAAGCTGCCAGGGTAACTCCAACTGGCCTGATTTGTTCTCAGGGTGTGTTTCTGTCATTTCAGTGTCTCTCCACCTCTGTTTTCAGCAAGGCTAAGTATGAGCTGTTATCTTAAGAGTTTTTCTAATTGATGCTGGGCTTAGGAAATTCAGATGAGGGTCAGTATAATGTTCAAAATAATTTGTGTGTTTCTGTGAAATTAGATACCCTATGGGATTATTAAACACATGGATTATCAGATCCCAGTGATTTTTCATAAAAACTTGGTTATTTCCCTGCTCAGAGCATGGGCATATCCACTTGCTGGTTTATTGTATTACTACTCAGGAGCTGCGCCATGCTAACTAGCTGTAAACAAGCCCAGACAGAAATATAAGTTGCATCAGCCTAAAATTGTTTTATGATAACAAAGTTGGTAAGGATTCAGGTATCTGACTGGGGATTCTGGGATCTTAAACAAGCCCTGAGGTGTGTCACATGTTACAGATGCTCAATAGGACTCATGTAGGCAATAATTTTCTGTGGCTGGTCCCAAAGGGTGATTCTGGGGGTCTGAGTTCCCAGTGCTGGTTGAGCTTTACTCATGGTAGCACTATTGATGTAGGAAAATGAACACCTGGGGAATAAAGCTGTGGAGTCATGTAGGTGTATCAAAATGTTTCAGTTCAAGTATAACAAAGAATGAGTAGAATTTGCTACAACTGGGCTTTTCTCAAGATCTGATACCTGAGTTTCACAGGTGGGAATAAAAACTTTTGAAATTACCTGTTCTTTTCAGTGTCCATGAAAGGACTACAAAGACATAGAGTACTACCTGTGAAATACCCAACAAGTAGAACATTGTCAAAGGAGGATGCCTTTTAGTAGCTCAGAGGTTGTTTTGCAGTACCTGAATTTCCTCATGGGTGATGGAAATCATCTTTGGTTTAATGTGTGAGGCAAGTCAGACTCCACAGACCAGCCTGTGGTAAGGTGTCTTTGTCAGACTTCCCATGTGCTGGAAATACAAATTCAAAATGACTGAAGACACTGCTGAGTGTGTCCTCAAGTGACTATGGCAAGGGGAAGTACTTGGAGATGGCTGTTCAATATGTGATTGTTGTCCATGGTTTGAGGGTTTATTGGAAAAGAGAGTCAGATCTGTATGGTTGGAAACCTCAGCTTTTATGAGTGACCTTTGTGAGGTCTGAAAGTTGCAGTGTTGTCTGCAGGATTTCATTCTTGTCTCTGCACAGCCTCTAGGCTGGCTTCCTGGCAGATCACTCCCCATCCCTCCACAGAGGCTGATGTCCGTGCCCATCTGAGCATCTTCCAAGGATGTGCCAAGTGATGAATGAGCTTGATTTGAGGTTGTCCCTCTGAGCCACTGGGCACAGTTCAGCAAACTGCAGAACGTGTCGACACAATCGCTTCAAGGCTTTCAGCTGCAGCCTCTGTCAGCACTCTGCAGCTTCTGTGCACTGCCGGATCAGCAGTGCTCTGACCATTAATATTTATAAACCTTAAATAATACAGGACTTCAGTGTACCTGAGAGACCATATGTTGGCCTCCAATCCCCCACAAAGCACCTGAGATCAGTGTGGCTACAACCCTGCCTAATCCATGGTGATGATCCCAGAAGGGGAAGGAGGTGGAGCTTTTCCCATGGAGAGCCTCTGTCTTTGGATGTCTCCCTCCTTCATTAGTTACCAGAGCACATCATCCTCATCCTTCAGGGCCAAGCTTTAGGCTTATTTCTTGCCTTTCAGTCGGGAGTCTTACATCACTGTGCTGTGTGTTTATTACAGGGCTTCATTTGGTTGTCACCTTGGGTTTGAGTATTCTTGCCACCTTTTAGTAAAAATGTATTGATCTGGGTGTGGTTTGCAAGGCAAGAGGATGCTGAGAGGTTTTTTTATTATTTATTTATTTTAGTGTTTTTTCTTAATCTTATAAAGGTGTTGGGTGACCATTTGGACCCAGATGCCTCTAAATTAACATTTAATGTATGCACGTGCAAAGATGCATATGGATGAATAATGCATAGTAATAAACAGCTTGGTGATTGGGTTTGGTTCAGAGGGATGTTGCATATGGATTAGCCTTAAGGATCCAGGTCAGGATGTTAAGGTATATCAGGTAGAGACAGTGGAGCTCAACCTATTGTGTGCTGCAAAGCTCACCTTGGTAATGAAAATGGCTCTTCTCTCACGTGCACAGCCTCAGCCAGACTTTGCTGAAACAAGCCCCTTGGAAATGACTGAGGCAACCCTCCCTCCTCCTCTCCGGAGTCGTTGGTTTAGGTACAAACCCGGGTGAATTAGTTAAAACAGGATCCTCGACACATGCAGCTGTACCAACCACGAGGAGTGAGAGGATGTGTTAGAGCCCAGCAGCTCCAGCAAGGGGCTGGGCTGGGCTGGGCTGCGAGTGCCTGGACGTGGCTCTGAGACCCCCGGGGTGGCTCTGAGACCCCCGGGGTGGCTCTGAGACCCCCGGGGTGGCTCTGAGAAGCCCCCGGGTCCTGCCCTCGAAGCCGCGCGGCGGGTGGTGCTGAAGGGACAGCGCCGGGCCCGGCCCGGGGGGCCCCCCCGGCCCCGCTGCCCCCCCG